GATGGATGGATGGATGGATGGATGGATGGAGGGTTGGAAGAACCAAGGGATGGAGAGATGGACAGACAGATGGAAGGATGGATGGACAGATGGAAGGATGGATGGACAGAAGGCTGGATGGGATGGAAGGATGGAACAAGGGTTGGATGAAGGGTTGGAAGGACCAAGGGATGGACGGATGGATGGATGGAAGGATGGATGGATGGAAGGATGGATGGATGGAGAGATGGACAGGAGGCTGGAAGGATGGATGGACACACAGAGGGTTGGAAGGACAGAGGGATGGATGGATGGAGAGATGGATGGAAGGATGGATGGATGGACAGAAAGACGCATGGATGGAAAGACAGAGGGATGGACAGAAGGATGGATGGATGGATGAAGGGATGGAGGGATGGGTGGAAGGATGGAGACCCAGACAGAGGGATGGAAGAATGGATGGAAGGAGGGATGGACAGAGGGATGGAAGGAGGGATGGATGGATGGATGGATGGATGGATGGATGGATGGATGGATGGATGGATGGATGGATGGATGGATGGATGGATGGATGGATGGATGGATGGATGGATGGATGGATGGATGGATGGATGGATGGATGGATGGATGGATGGATGGATGGATGGATGGATGGATGGATGGAGGGTTGGAAGGACCAAGGGATCGATGGATGGACAGATGGGCAGAGGGATGGATGGATGGACAGATGGACAGATGGATGGATGGAGGGTTGGAAGGACCAAGGGATCGATGGATGGACAGATGGGCAGAGGGATGGATGGATGGACAGATGGACAGATGGATGGATGGAGGGTTGGAAGGACCAAGGGATGGAGAGATGGACAGATGGACAGACGATGGAAGGATGGATGGATGGATGGACAGATGGACAGAGGGATGGAAGAGATGGCGGAATGGATGGACGGAGGGTTGGATGAAGGGTTGGATGAAGGGTTGGAAGGACCAAGTGATGGATGGATGGATGGATGGATGGATGGATGGATGGATGGAGGGTTGGAAGAACCAAGGGATGGAGAGATGGACAGACAGATGGAAGGATGGATGGACAGATGGAAGGATGGATGGACAGAAGGCTGGATGGGATGGAAGGATGGAACAAGGGTTGGATGAAGGGTTGGAAGGACCAAGGGATGGACGGATGGATGGATGGAAGGATGGATGGATGGAAGGATGGATGGATGGAGAGATGGACAGGAGGCTGGAAGGATGGATGGACACACAGAGGGTTGGAAGGACAGAGGGATGGATGGATGGAGAGATGGATGGAAGGATGGATGGATGGACAGAAAGACGCATGGATGGAAAGACAGAGGGATGGACAGAAGGATGGATGGATGGATGAAGGGATGGAGGGATGGGTGGAAGGATGGAGACCCAGACAGAGGGATGGAAGAATGGATGGAAGGAGGGATGGACAGAGGGATGGAAGGATGGATGGATGGATGGATGGATGGATGGATGGATGGATGGATGGAAGGAGGGATGGATGGATGGATGGATGGATGGAGGGACCAACAGATCCCCCCCTCCCCCAGAACGTCTCTTCCGCTGCCGCTTCACCACCTCCCGGGCCTCGCGCCGTCCCAGCGCCGGGCGGAAGCTGGTGCTGCTCCGGGGTCGCTTCCAGGCCCCCCCCGGCCCCCCCGGGACCTCCCCGGGGCTTTTCGTCGCCTTCTGCGCCCCCCTGGACCCCCCGCCCTGGCCCTGCCCCGACTGTCTCCTGCTGCCCGCCTTCCAGAGCCGCCACGCGCCCGACCTCGCCCTGCTCGACGTCTCCGACAGGTCAGGGGTTTGGGGGGGACCCAGG